TAGTTGGATGTGATATTAATGATACCGTTCAAAAATTTCCACATTCTGCTGAACCACCTGAACCACAGGCATAGAGGCTAGGTTTTACAACACATCACAAAATGGAGGATAATTATATCAGATCACAAAATGGAGGACAACTACAAAATACTGGGAATCATGGCCTAGCCAAGTTAACACATTTTCGGGGGACACAATTCATTCCATAACACACCCCTTGCCTACCTCCCTCCCGACCCTTCACTGCCTATTTTTTTCCAAATAAGGGCACACTCCCTGTTCTATGTCTCTTCCTTTAGTAAATCCAATAAGCATTTCTCTTTACATTCTAGGCTCTCACTTTTAATAATGACTGCTCAGCACGGGCTCAATGAAAAAGGACATTCATCCTTTAGCAGTGAGCGTCAGTTGGCAGAATGAATGAATAATACCTGCAGGAAAATATAAATCAGTGAATAGAGAGCCTCTTGTCTGTGTTTTGGCCTAAATGCATCTATTTTTGCTCAGATAAGGATTTCTGGAAAAATACTGGAAACCCATGTTTGCATGGTCCTTCTTCACATCCTCTCAAAACATGTCAGACGCCTACTTTGTTGCCATTGCCTTTCTTGCTTGCCTTTACATTTGCTTTAGTTTAGCTTTGTTTTTTTTTTTTAAGGGTTCAGTCTTTACAACAATACCAGGAGAGAAGAAAGGATGGAAAATCAGACAACTGCTCATTCATTACAGAAACAAGAGTCAAACACCACACAGAGAAGGACAGGGACTCTAGTCAACATAGTAGGTAGCCTTTCATCATGGAAATATCCACCCAGCAGGAAAAAGTATCACAGTTAGGGTGCTCTTAGAGCCTGCTATAAAATGGCCACACCATATTTCAGTGATCTAAAGTGGATGAATCCAAAGACTACCTAGCCCTAAAACCCAGGCCCTTCATTTGTTTGCTCAACAAATATTTATGAGTGCCTCCTATATGCAGGACACTGTTCTTGGCACGGGAATACAATGATGAACAAGACAAACTAGGGACCAGCCCTCTGAGTTTCAAGTAGTCCTTGCCTTGGTACGTTATTTTTGCAGTATTTTATCCAGGAAGGTGGGGACCCTGTTCTAGCTGTCATTTTCTCCACCCCAAAATCTTATGCTGCATATTCAAGGTATAGCAAACCAACAAATTCTCTACAAAATGAAGGGATTAAGAAAACCACACATTCTAAAGAAAAATATTTTGCAAAGTTACAGATAGATAATTATTCCCAGAGAGATAAGAGGTATTTCAAGCTGTGGAATCACTTCCACAGGACCTTGATAGATTCTCAGGAGATGGCTTCAAAAATGAAGTTAAAATGCTTTATCTAATCTTGAGGGTTTTTTTTTTTAATTATTATTATAATACATTGGGTAATATTTACAAATCCAGTCAATTAGATCTCCAAATTACACCTACAGCACTTTTTTTAACCTTATTTTTTTAGTATGAAGTGCAGTCTCTGTGACTGCAAAAAGTTTGAAAAACTGTGACTGTTCCAAGCAATTCTTTTGGGAAGATTTTTCCCAGGTAAATGAAAATATACTGCATGCAAAAACACAAATTTCACAACTTCCCTCAAAAGCTGTTAGTACTCTTGAATTCTGACTGGATAGTTCTTCATAGACCATAAAGTTCTTAAACTAGTTCTATCAGAGTCATCAAAATCTGTTCACTTTCTCAGTTTCCTCACATCAGAAATAATAATGATGCTTTTACTTGAAACTTGAAGTTTTCCCTGCAGATTAAATGAGCAAACATACATTAAAATGTTTTGAAACTTAAACAAACATGGTGCAAATATAAACAATCACTTACTGCTCTGTAATCTTACTGTAAAAAATGCCATGTGGGGGCGGCGTCTGATCTCCTCTAACTTCACGAGGGGGAGAGAGACTCACCATCAGCATCAACAGCCCAAGGCTGATTCTCATGAGATGGAGGTCAGACATACCTTCTCTCTCCAAACTTTTTACCAGTTTTGACAACAGCCATCCCTCCCATGGCACTCTACTTTTCTGCTTCGTCCGATAATTCGTTGCAATGGCCACACAGAACTCACAGACCATACTCATAGTTATGGGGTTTATTAGGGAAGTAACAGGTTACAATTAAGGATCAGAAATAACTCAGGATACAGTTCTTTGAGCAAGACAACTTCTCAGCCATGCCCACAGACAGGCCTCTCTCTGGCCCTCAGCCCCTGGGCCTGGCCTCTGCCCTGCTGGAGCAAATGTTACAAAGCTCTTTAGCTCCACCAGTAAGTGCCCAGGAGCACCCCCACTCCACCGGTAAGCTTTGGTCCAAAGGTGCTCAGCTCTGTAGCTCCATAGGTCAGCGAGCCTAGCTCCATCAAGTGCCCAGAGACACCCCGCCCCACCAGCAAGCCTCCTGCCTGAAGATGCTCAGCTTTCTTGCTCCGTGGGCCGGGAAGCCCACTGCACCACCTCCTGCTGGTCTCCTGGTTCTGCTGCCTCTGATGCTACTATTTCTCTGCTGCAGCTTTTCGCCACCTCGCTGTCACAAGTGTTACAGCTCTCACTCTGTTTCCTGGTTCTAGGAGGTTCTCAGTACAGGGATTCCAGGTCCAAAGGATGTGCTCCACTCTTAGCTGTTTTTTCTTGCTGGTAATGAGGTCCCTCCTGTCTGCCTCTGGGATGGCTCATTTTAAGCCTATGGGATGTTAAAACTGGCCAATCCCCTCATTAGGGTTCCATACACTTTATTTGCATGATCCCACTCCCACAGTGGTGCCATGAACCTTATTTGCATTATTAGTAAGTTAGCCAATCCCCTTGGTGGACCACAAGCACCACATTTGCATATTCCCACCCAGTCATCTGGTGGAAGTTGCAAGACCAGGGCAAGAAAGGCTATATAAAAGTGATCCATTGCACTACACTTACTAATAATAAATTAAGTCCATGAGGACAAAGACCTTATCTTATTATTCTTTGTAAACCCAGTAGCAATGCTGATATTAAAAGTATTAAAAAAAAAAAAAAAGCTTTATATAATGAGTAAATTAATCTAGATAGACCAATCTCTAACATTCTCATTTTCCTCCTTAGGTTCTGCAATGGAGAATTATTGTCTTGTGGTTTAAAACACAATGCCCAAAGACTAAAATATATAGGGCAATGTGAGAGTCATTCTGTGTCTAAATCCATCTGTCCACAGCCACTTCCTTAAATGGTAACTTTCAGTAATCACAAAGGAGACTGGTCAAGAGATCCGAGATATAGATTACAGCAACTGGGGGTGGGGAGTGGGGAAAAGTGTGTGCCTGGACAGTGAACCAGTGGCAACATATACAAAGGTTAAACAAAAAAAAAAAAAAAATTTGCAAGAATAGCAGAGGAATGGTAAGACTTCTCAAAAGCTTTTTGCTGTTGATAAATGCTGCTGTAATGACTATGCTGTTGATCACTCTGATTCTGCTTAATAGTACACTAAAATCTCTGCGGGGTTAGAATTTTTTTTTTTTTTTGCTTCTATTTATTATGTTTTCCAATCATAATAGTAAACAGCCATAATTTCCCATCTCAAAAAGTCTAGAGCAGTGGTTCCCAAAACTTTCTGATTGCTTCACAAGAAAAAATATATTTTACATAGCAACCAAAGATGGGAACATACATACACACGTGTATACACACACAATTGAAACAAAAATTGCACAAAACAATATTTACTTTTATTATAGGTGACATAATCTGAATTTTTCTATTATTTCATATGTTTCTAATTGTAGTTGAGACCCACTAAATCAATTTCATGCTTCAATACTGTGTTGAAACTTAAATTTGTAAAATGCTGACTTTGAACTTTCTTCTTTGTAAAGGTGTTGTGTATTCCCTTGATGTGGTTGCACATTAAATTACCTTAAAATTCTGGTCTTTCTATTTTATTATAATTTCTTTTTGAGTTGATGTGATTTGTTACAGGATTCACAATTTAAGTGTATCTAATGAAGTTTACTACTGCAGATGAGGAAACATGCATTTCAAAGAAGCAGAAAGTTACAAAGGCGCTTTTCATCAGCATCTTGCACTGGTCCTTGTGCCCAAAACAAAATGAGAAATTGAGAATAATTAGGGTTTTATTCAAGAATTTTGATATGGTCTCACTGATCCTTCTAAAAGTTTCCCTTTGGCAAGATTTTATATTAGCAGCTAACTGCATAAAAAATCTCAAGTATACGTTTGGGATTTTTATGAGTTAGAGTGAATTTCCTATCATTTATACACATTTTGAAATGGATTCACAAGAATTTGGCATTATTGGTCAGTATTTCAAAACTTGGGAAAACTTTAATGGGGAAGTGATGTGGTAAATATGTTAAAAAATCATCAAACTTTATATAGGGAACACTTCTTTTTAGATAAGTAAACAAACATACACACAACAAATAGGAACATAAATACATAAACACGGAGAGTTAGAGGTACCGTTCACAGAATCCCCTGATATAATCTGAAGTATTACTTACACAACTAAAATTCGGCCACTCAGTTTCTCAGTTCTCTGAAGTTTGCTTAAATTTATTTTGTCTACATCAAACAGAATAGCTTTCAGATGAATGTCATCCCTCATAACAAGAAGATACATATTATTTCAGAACATGACTACAGTCACTTCAGTAAATATAACTAAAAAGTTCTAAAATTTCTTAAGGCATTTGACCAAAAAAAAAAAAAAAAACTTGAAGATTCTACAGATACTTTGGCTAGTACTTCAAGATTAAGGAAAATGAATCCACTGTAGTGTCTGTGATAAATATAACATTAATCCCTCAAATTCCTTTTACAGACAATATTTGTTATAAATATATCCCCAAGCCCTTGCAGACACATATGTGGGAATACACACAAACACACATTTAGAGATGCACACACATAATGAGAACAAGATAGTACCCTTTAAGAGAACTATATGGTGGCCTGGAAAAACTTACAAGACACTTGAAAAATACTGATTAATTTAGGTTTTAATTCAAAGTAGGTATTTCATGTAATATAGACAAAGACCAAACAGACTTAATTTTTGTCTGTTCACATAAAGCCATCATCTTAAAATTACTGTTGAAATATGCTTTTGGAGTTTTTCTAAAAAGACTTCGCTATGAAATTCTGCTAACCACCTTCTCGAAAATGGAGTTCCTGGGGACTCAGACATTCACTAGTAACACATTTTTTGCATGAATACTGTTTTTTGTTTTTTTCTTTGAAATAAGTTTATTTATTTCAATACTATTTTTCCTTAAATGGGGGGGAGAGGACTCGAAAATAAAATGCCCAAGTGGAACAAACAGTGATTGGCTGACACCCCACGGCCAAGGGCAGGCTCCAGCAGGTTTCGGAGTAGCAAGGTCATCACTGCATGGTGCAAAATGGAGCATCATATTAGAGTGGAATTCAGCCAAACACAGTAATGTATGGATGTGGACGCATCTGAAAGAAGGAAAATAAAGATTTATGCAGGTGGAAAAAAAAAAAACGCGATAAAGACATTTTCCCCAATGTCTTATGCCCAATCTGAATGTTGTGGTAGAGGTTTTGGAACTTAGGTTTTTCATATGCAAATTATGTGTTTGTAAATAATAAATATGCTCAGGAAAAAAAAAAGCTAACTTGTCAGAGGAACCCTACTTGAAAGCTTTAATAGTTTTTTTGTTTGTACACAGCATTAGAGTTCAACACAAACATCACTAAATTCCTGAAAATAAACCTTTATTCCACCTTTAAAACATTAATTCACCAGAAGTGATAATTAAGATTAGCTTTAGTGGTTTCAGCTCAATTCTTCTTGGAAGTGACTTCTCCCACACCATTAATGCTAAACAAAGCATTGTGTAATATACAGCAACCAAGATCCTGCTTTAGAAAAGATTCGAAGGGTTTAAAAGAAAAACAAAGATTACTCAAGACATATATGAACAGATCTTACTATTTCTATAGTCATAGTAAATAAATGAAAGGCGCCTTGCTATAGTCTATATACAGCTTAAACATAAATGCTTTAAATAATTTTTATACTAAATTTCCTACATAACCTTCAACCTTCCCCTCCACCAAAAAATATTCAAAACATCCAATAGCGTTGGTGGTTATAGCAAAGCAATGATCTTATTGCAATGCATTTAGTTTAAAAGAAATCATTCAGATTTCATTGTTTAAATTGATAAATTCAATAATTTCTATTTCCTCAATATATTAATCTAGAATCTGATACACTAGATGGGTTAATTCCCTAATAAGGAAGAAATCCAATTTAAAAGTGACACAATGCCACATTTCTTTAAAAGAGTGCTGGAAAACAAATTTATAGGGGAAACTGGTTCACAATTGCGTGTGCAGGATGCTGCTAAGGTAAAGTACATCTGCAAAGTTGAAAAAATGCAAAAAAGTCCAGAAGTAAAAAGGAATTATCAATATTGATGGAAAAGGTAAAAGATTATCCCAATTATAATGTATAGAAAGTTCTCAATTTTTTTTTTTCTATTTAAGATACATTTCTATTGAGGACATACTTAATACTATGTAGGGACTTACATTTATTATCTTTCTTATGCTAATGTTAAAAATTGTCAATTAGCTTGTTGAATATATGCTCTAAACCATTTTAAGCACTTTAATGTACGTCATCAATTGCTACCTTTCAGAAAGGAAGGAAAGAATGATTACTTCTTTTAAAATTCTGTAAAATATGAATTATAATTTCCCCGATTATTTTGTTGTTAAGAACTAGAGCCTAAAGTAGAATTATATTCCATTATAAAAATGTCAATCTTGATAGCTGAACATACAAAACTACACATGCAAAAGTAAATTTCAACAGATTTCTGTAGCTATTTTAATATATACAGAGAAGGCCAGAGGAATTCTATGTTTCTCCCCCTAGGGATAGTATGATAAACTAGAAAACAACACTGAACTCTGACTTCCATGATTTGAGTTCTAGTCCACATTATATCCTTAATAATTTTGTGATCTTAATCAGATGATGATTCCATACTGGGCCTCAGTCACCTCACCTGTAAAATGAGGGGACTGACTTGGCTGATAACTTTTAATTTGAAAATGTAATGATGCTAATGATTTTAGGTATAGAAATTAAACTGTTAATTACAGTATATGCTATTTTGATTTTGTAAGTGTTTCAAGTTCAGATATTTCCCATATATCAACGTACAAATATCACAACGCAATGAAAATGTAATAGCACCATAGCTGATATATATGTATACATCTGGCTATCTGTGGGGGTGTGTCCGTGTGTGTGCAGTTTATGATATATAGTATGTGTATAGTTTTTCACATGAGACATGCAATTAATCAAAAATGGAAAGATGACAAGAAAGAGTGATTTTGCTGTATTTTTCCAGGTGTATGACTTATCTGAAATCTTTAAAGTGACTTTATGGTCCCGTATCTAAGTCACTAGTTAATCTACGGTAAATTTGGAATAAGCCTCAAATTGTCATAGGTGGACTTACGTACAAGTTTGCATACTCATTGCCGATCAAATCAGTGGGTGATCTTTTCCTTATTTCACAAACATCCAAAGGTCCAGGTAATGTTGTATAGTAGATACCTCCTAACTAAAGACAAGGCCTAACTTGCATCAGTTATTAGCCTTTTGACTATTATATCAGCCCAAAGTAACTGAAATCCCACCCTAGGGAGATTAGTTGTGCCTTTTGAAAGTGTCCCTGATTACAGACAGGATAATCATATTATAGTATTGTAGAGATTATCTTAAAGAATTAAAACCGGAAGCAGTCGCTAACATCATTACACAGATGCATTTCTCCTATAATATATGAGGTGTAATATACATACACGAATAAAATTGATTATTTAGTTCCTATTGCCTATAACAGTAATAGATGGTGGTAAGCCATTCACTTGCTTCCAAAATCCAAGAATTTTAAAAATAAGCTGTGCCATATTTTTACTAAGCATGGAAGATACTGAACAAAATTTGATCAGTTAAAGAAAGCATTCTTCAGATTCAATTCAGCAATTCCTTATGCAAAGAAAACTCACTGGAATTTATATGTTTTTTTCTTTAGTATCTCAGGATCTGCTACAAATAGATTTTAAAATTAATGTTTATTTAATTTGTATACTCTGTATTCTTGCCAAAAATAAAGCACCTTACTTTCCACTTACTAAATACATTAAAATTTTACTTGCAAGTGCATTATCTAAAGAACAGCATCACAAAGATAAACTAAAAAGGATTTCAGAATAATAAGCATAATGGTAATCATACTTTTACACTTTAACCTTTTGGAACTGTATTACCGTTTTTAAGAAAATAGTAAAATACTCATATAACAGTAAAACACAGGAGATTTAAAATAACTAAAAAAAAAAAAAAAAAGAATGTCTTGCTTTATTATACAAATCAAAAGTACAGAAGTGCAGCTGTACTTTCAGGTCAGACAACAAGCTCCATGGCCAGGTTTGCCAAGGAAAGGGAGAGTGAAGTGGCAAGGTGGACACTTAATTTCAGAAATTCTGTCAAAGATGCACATTGTGTTCAACTAAACACATTTAGTGATGAGAGCAAAGGTTTTTGTTTCAATTGCAAAGGTCTGAACTATGAAAACCTGGGCTACATCATCAGTTTCTCGAATGTGTGAATTTCAGAAATAACTCTGGCAAATATGAAGCATACATTTCCTAGATTCTGTCAAAGAGTAACTATAGAAACTTGATTTGAATGTCTCTAGAGCCTGTGAAAACAAACCAAAAAAGCGGGAGAGTTGTTATGTACCGACTTTTATTTCTACAAAGCTTATTATAATGTAACCATAAATGGGATTTCTGAGGAACACTTCAAAAAGTTTAATTCTCCTAAGATAGCAAAACTGTAAGAGACATCACTTAGACTTTATCACTAATAAAAAACTGTGATATGGCAATTCAGGGAACTACAAATATAAATGAAGGCTTTAAGTCGGATGAAATTTCAGATTTTCAATTAATCCCTCCTGGGAGGAATTTAAAAAATGCAACCCTCAAGTTTTCCTCAGACAAACTGAGTATCATAGAAAGACAGGAAATTATAAAAAAACCCTGTGTTCTTTTTTTCTTTTACATCAGGGTTAACCAAAGAACATATATTTTGGCAGTTCAAAAAATTAAAGGCAATATTTTTTTTTAAATAAATATAGAAAACCATCTACTCATGGTAAAAACAAAAATCAAAACAAAAAGGATCCTATTTATTATGTGAGATATCTATACAGACTGCAACTTTGTACGTAGATCCCCTGTCCCTAGACAGCAATACTGAGGAGATGAAGTGTATCAATTACTATCACTAATTACATTAAGGAGAACGTGTTTCATTCTCCTTTATTTCATTTTAGGTCAGCTATTTACTTGTGGTTAAAAGTTTATGCATCTTTTCAATACCTAATGCCACACTAGTTTCTCCAAGTCACTTCTGGCAAACTGCATGGTTCATTCCAATTGCTTTATGAGTTTTCTCTTTTGGTATATGGACTTAATTGTTCAGTTAAGAGACCAGCACCATATATTAGTTTATTTATAAGCGTATCACTTTGCCTTTTAAGCAGGATGTCAACAGTCTTGATATTGGCTGTTTTAAATATTCAAGAATAGAAGGCTGACCCTATGTGATGAGCTAAATGGAACTTAAGTGATACCACAGAACATATGAGGTGTTGTTTGCATAAAATATCTATAAATCTGCTACTTGATGTGTCCGCTCAAAAGCATAAGATTACACAGTTTAGAATGCAAATACCATTCAGCCACAGGACAAAAAGTATCAGTTGGATGACAGCTGCTCTCTTCATGATCTTTTACATTCCATTTTACCATTTCCTAGGGAAATACCTAGAGTTCTCAATTTATTTGTGGGTGTTTACAAGTAATCTTATAAATATGCAATTATTTTAATGGGATTCTTCCTTGGTTACAAAACTGATAAAAGCACCAAAAACAAAAGAAAAATCTGCTTCTAACCCCAGGTAAAGCAATAACGCAACAGACATAAACTCATTCTGTCAAATTTCAGGTTAAAATATATAAATAACTCAAGCTCACATGCATCAAAAAACGTAATATGAAAAGCCATTTAATGCCATGTATCTCAAACCTGTGTTTCCTTGGATTGTTTCAATTATTCTACATAAAGCATACTATGTCTACTTCTTCTTGTCTAAATAGCTATAGTAAAGTACTTTATGCATAAAAAGTTTCTTTAGAAAACTAGTTTGAATAAAAGCCCTTTTCTATAACATCTTCAATGAGCTCTATGGCTACAAAATAACTTTCTCCTTTGCCTAAATTCTTCTCAGGAAACAAATTCAATATGCCAAATATATTTATTAGAAATACTATTATTTCATATTATTTCACAGTCATAATAAATATTTTTTTTGAAGTCAGTTATGGCAGTAAAGTTACATGTGATGTTTTATGAGCAGAGTTTGCTACAGTATTAGACACAGCAGTTTCTAAAAAGGTTTTATCTGCTCTGTGTCAATTAAGCTTTGGTGGGTATAAAAAGAAAAGTCTGGGTATTATGTATCACACAAGCAAAACTTTCAAAAGTAAACTTTATATCTTCTGAAATACACTTCAGTATATACTTTTTTTTTTTACTGTTTCCACATTTCACCAAGAAACAACTGTGTCGAATATTACATATAACCTTTATACTCTCTATATATCACAATGCATACCAAAATATTCTTGCACACTGCACATCAATCATTACCATTTTTGTGGCTTGGCTGAAATGATAAATGGCTCATGCAATTTATTTTTGCTTTTAAACTTTTAACACTGAAGACAAAGAATGCAAATGCTTGCAAATAGCTGAAATCATAGAGGCCTAATCTTTATAGATATCAAAGTATTACAAATGTAGTTTTGTACAACATTTACATATCATTAAATATTTTTAAACTAGTACTTCCGTCAAAATAGTCAGTACTTCAGTATTTTAGGCTTGGTACTACATTTGCATGAATCATCTTCCGCTTATCTGAAAACCTGCATAATGTATAACATAGCTAAAACTTTTATAGTGTCCAATTTGCATAGACACCAGTAGTGACTTTAGAAATTTTCTCGTTGGATGCAATTATCCAATTAGTAGCCAGAAAGGAGAATAATTTCTAGTTAAAGCTAACCATCCAAACACATGTACACATATTTATTCAGGAAACAGAAGAGGTAGGATGAATTAGGACTGTCAAGTGCAATGAGAAGTGCAAAATACTGCCTACTTTGAATATTTTCTTTAGTAGTTTAGTGAACCTTAGGTCAAACTTGCGAAATACAATGGTGCACCTTCTGTTTAATTAATGGTTCATGCATTAACATTAAATTCCTTCTATTAAAAAAATAAATAAATAAACAATAGCTTTAGAAAACAGAAGACAGAACTTTGCAGAAAATGCTCTGTCTCAGAGTTATTAGCCCTCTCTGGGATTATAATTAGATGTATTTGGAGAGTATCTTACCTGTTTGCTGTACTTGTTATTGGTTTGACAGCTGTACTCAGAGCAGTGATCTGATCCAATTGAAATGTTGTCTCCTGCTCCCACAAATGTGTTGGCTGGTGGTAGATCTTGTACGGCCTGGTGTTTTTTTCCTGTAGTTGGTGATTGGGGATGAAGCTGGACAGTAGGCAATGGGGAACTGGATTTGTAATGCCTTGCCAGGTCAGGACTGCCAGGCCCACCATTAACAGATCGGTATCGCCCCATGCTAGGGCTGTCTGACAGCTTCTCATTGACACTATCATATCTCTGTCCATTTGGTTTAGAAGCTTCTACAGTGACAATGCTGCTATAGAGTGGCTGCTTAGATTTTTTATTTTTCTTGTCTTTTTTAGGCTTTTTCGATTTGTCATGCTGTTGGGGTGTAAAAAAGTCTTCATGGTCTTTTTTGCCGGCTTCATAGCCATTTTTATTTTTGGACCTGCAGTACCTTGCCATCATTACAATTAAGATGATCAGAATCACTGTCATAATTCCAGCAACCACTCCAATGACAATACTGAGTCTCTGTTTGCTAATTTCATAGCTTGGGTCACCAGCTATATCCTGGGTGAGTGGGGTGTGCAAACTTCTGGCTATCTGGGAGTCAATCACAGTTGCATTAGAAACACTTTCATTGACAAACACGTGCACCAGGGCGGTGGTGGACTGGGAAGGCTGCCCACTGTCATTCACTTGCACCACCAATCTGTGCAAGCCATAATGCTTTTGGGTGAGTTTCCCCACTAAGGAAACCACACCACTGGTGGAATCAATCTCAAACAGCTTGAAGGGATTCCCTCCCACAATGCTGTAGTTAAGGTCTGCATTGATGCCATCATCACTGTCTGTTGCCAACACTGTAGCTACTATAGTCCTGACATTACTTGAAGGTGGCAGTAAAGTGTAGGAAATGTTTCTGGGGAGGGTAACTGTGGGAGCATTGTCATTCTCATCCATTACAAAGAGAGATACTGTGGCTGTGGCAGATCTGGGAGGATCTCCCCCATCCACAGCTTTGACTCTGAAAGTGTAGGTGGTCTGATGTTCACGGTCAAAAGACATTGTGGAGTAAATGGTCCCAGTGTCATTTTCAATGGAAAAAATATTACCGTTCTCCTCTATGTACAGTCTCATCTCTGCATTTTTCCCCTTGTCAGCATCCACCACGGTGACCATCCCCACCGGGCTGTTGGGCTGCAAGTTTTCTTTCACATAAAAGGTAAAGACGTCCTGCATAAACTTAGGGTCATTGTCATTCTTGTCAGCCACCTGCACAATTACCGTGGTGCTGCCCTGGAGCACCGGGATGCCTTTGTCTTTGGCGTTAACTTTAAACTCATACCTGTCAGTCTGCTCGCGGTCCAGCACCGTATTTACGAGGACGTCCCCAGAACTGGGATCGATGGCAAAGATACCCATCACGGATGAGTCCAGCGAGTAGGCGATCTCTGCGTTCTTCCCGCTGTCTGCGTCTGTAGCTTTCACCGTGGCCACCCTATCGCCCGGGATGTTGTTCTCAAAGAAGTAAACCTCCACCACGGAATGCTCGAAGACGGGCGGGTTGTCGTTTGTGTCTCCCACCTTGACCACCAGAGAGTTGTTGCTGGAGAGGCTGGGACTGCCCGAGTCAACTGCCACTATTACCACGTTGAACTCCGGGGTGGTCTCATAGTCCAGAGGAGCGGAGGTGTGCAGGAAGTACTTTTTCTTGTTCTGGTCGCCCTCAGTATCGCTGGCCGGCTTGAGCTGGAAGGGCACATCGCCCACCACGGTGCAGGTAACCACCCCGTTCTCACCTTGGTCTCGGTCGGATACCTGCACCAGAGCGATAGGGGTGTCGACCAGGACGTCCTCGGCCACGTTAGCCACACCGTCCTTGAGTGGAATGCGCCCGATCTTGCGAATTTCAATGGAAGGCACGTTGTCATTCTCGTCCTTGATGTTGAGGACTACTGTGGCCTTGTCGGTCTTGGGGGGCTGTCCGCGGTCGCGGGCCATAACAGTGAAGCGCAACTGGTTCACCTCCTCGCGGTCGATTCGGTGCAGTACGCTGAGCCAGCCCGACGTCTCGTCGAGGCGCAGCAGCCGCCGCACGGACTCGGTGGCCGCTCCGAACACGTACTCGATCTGCCCGTTGACCCCCACGTCCAGGTCGGCGGCGCGCAGCTGCAGGATGGGGGTCCCCGGGGCGCTGTTCTCCGCCAGATCAGCCTCGTACACGTTCTTCTCAAAGCGAGGGCTGTTGTCGTTCACGTCGGTAATGAGCACCCGCAGAATGGCCTGCGACGAGCGCGGCGGGTCGCCGCCATCGCGCACCCTCAGGGTTAGCTCGTAGGAGTCGCGCTGCTCCCGGTCCAGAGCCCCCTTCACGATCAGCTGCGGCTGCTTCTCGCCGTCCGGGGTGTCGGCCACCTGCAGCTCGAACACGCTGCTGCGGCCTCCGGGGCTCGCCCCGCCACCGCCCTCAGGCGCGTCCAGCCGCCGCTTGGAGCTTCCCTGGCCGCCGCCGCTCGCGCCGTTCCCGCCGCCCCCGGGGTAGGGGGCGCTGTCGGCCGGTCCAGAGCGACGGCCCTCGCCGCCGCCGCCCCCGGGCTCCTGGAGCAGCTCGTAGCGCTCGATGCCGTTGCGGCCGAAGTCACGGTCGGTGGCGGTAGGCAGCAGGTACAGCGTGCCCACCGGCCGGTTCTCCTCCACCGTGAGCGTGAGCACAGGCGACGGGAAGGTGGGCGTGTTATCGTTGATGTCGAGCACGATGACCCGGCCTTCGAACAGGTCCACCCAGCTCTGTGAGGGCCCGATCACCGACACCTCGAAGTCCAGGAAGCACTCATTCTCGTCGAAGATCATCTGACACTGGGGCAGCTTCTCGCGGTCGATGCGCCGCTCGCTCGTACTCAGCTCGCCGGTGAGGTTGTCGATCTTCAGGTACTCGGAGCCCGACTCGAGGCTGAAAGTCACCTCGCCCGAGCCCGTCACGATGCCTAAGTCTGAGGCGACGTTGCCGATGCGGACGTCGGCGGGGCCCTCCTCGGCCAGCCGGTACCGGAGGAGTTGCTTGGCGGACGCCAGGCTGAGCGAGAGCCGCAGGAGGAGGCAGCAGCCCAGGCACCAGCCGCGCGCCCATCCCGCCGTCCGCATCCTCAGCATCTTCTCCTGCTGCTGCTGCTATTGCTCCTTCTAACCACAGTCCCCGTGGCTTCCCTCTCCTCCGGGGCCGGCCGCCAGCCCTCCCCCCCCCCCAGTCCTCTGCCCTCTCCGGGAAAGGAAGGCGCAAGAGAGAAGGGAGGGAGGGGGTAAGAGCAACGTGCTAGTCCGCCCGGGGGAGCAGCGATAGATCCTTTCTTTTTCCTCCTGTTTCTTCCAAAAGTTATTGTTTCATAATTCATGCAGTGGGTGCTAATCGCTAGCTCGCTGGCCGCCGTTCAGTGGCAGTACTCACAGTTCACGGGACACTGCGCGCAGCGGGCTCCGCGACCTCCTAGAGTCATCCCCGCAGCGGGCGAAGGATCCCGGGCTCCGGTCCCCGCTCGGTGGGATGGGACTGGAACCGCTCTGGCAGGCGGGCAGTGGAGTCGGGAGGCGGCGAGGGGCTAGTCTGCAGCCTCCCCGGCCAGCCAGCCCCTCTCGTCTTTGAGTCCAATGCACGTTCCAGCCACTCACTCCAACCCCAGGCTCTGCTCCGGCTTCGGCTGCCCCAGGCAAATGTGAGTCGTTTTCTGCACGAGGTACCGGGGCCAACAACAAGCCAAGTCTCAACTCCGACTCCGTTTAGGCAGCCGGGGAGCTAGCCAACAGATGAGAGAATGAAAAATCTCCAGCAAGTCGCTTCGGGCACCGTGTAGAGGAGACCACTCGCGTCACAGCGCAGTACTCGGCCGGGTCCCCCTGGCGCGCCGAAGAGCAGTCCGAGCCATCTTCAGAGACGCCCAGAGAGTCAGTCCTTTCTCAACCCCCGAGAGCTCCGGTTTCTGATTTTAACAACTCTGCGCAAGGTCATTAGTCACCAAGCCTCCGCCTGAAACCGCAGCAGCCGTTCGCCCGTGAGGGCGAGGGCTGAGCCGTGCGCACCGCGCGGTGCCCAAGTTTGGGTTCTCAGCCGCAGAGTCCGTGCCTTTCCTCACCTGCATTCGGCCGGCATGTCGGAGCTGTGGGATCCGCAGCGCTGTGCGCGATTCAGGGAGGAGATTGCAGCCTCTCTCTCTCTCCGCTCTCTCTCGATCCCTCCCCTCCCTCCCTCCCTCTCCTCCCGCCCTCTCCTCCCCCTCTCTCCTCCCTCCTCTCCTTTCCCCTTTCCCCTTCTCCCACTCGCTCTCCTGCCCGCTCGCTCTCCCTTTCCTCCCAGTCCCAATGCAGGGAACTCGAGCTGAACTTGATCCCTTTGCAGTTCAAAGGTGAGCAAACGAGGCTCAGTGCACAGGGGACGTTAGCCCTGCGAAACCATCCGCTCAGGTTCCCCAAATGCAATTAACAAAGATGCTCAATTCTTTCCAGATTTCCCAAGAAAAGCAAAAGGCATGAGGGCGGGGAGGGGGAATAAAGTAGGAAACAACTGCCAAGTAGCTTAAAAAAAAAAAAAAAAAAAAAATCCAGTTTGCCAAGGGGAGAAAAAGTGCCAGTCGGTTGTTGCCTCGGAAGTGCCCTGGCAAGGAGGGTGAATTCCGCAGTTGTTTCGTCCCCTTTCGCGTCTCGCAGTCTAGTGCAGGCGCTTCCGCCACCCTCCGGGCTGCCGGGGCTCACAATCGCTGAACAGCAACTGGAAAGCTAAGGCTCGCTAGTCGGGAGCCGGAACCCCGCAAGTTTGCCCAAAGTGTTGGTTGCTGCTGGGAGCTCACTGGCTCGCTCGCGGATCGGCTCGTCCCTGACGTGGCGGCGGCGGCGGTAGCCGAGCTGCGGAAACTACACACTGCCAGAGAGGGAGGGAGGAGGTATACGGAGGGAGGCGTGAAGGAGCGCCAGCCAGCCGCCGCGCTCCGGAAAGCCCAGCTTCAGCTCCCGGACCGCTCAGAGGGTGCCCAGCCCCAGCCAGCCCCCTTTAAGCCAAAGCGTGTCCACCCCCCCCCCCCAGCAAGTGCAGCCGCGGTCCTCTCGGGGGTACTCTTTACCTCCCTTGGGCTGGTAAATTTCCTCCTGGCTCCGATTACTGTCCAGTGCAGTAGGTGAGCGCGCTAGAGCCAGTGTTAGAAAACCTTTCTCCTTCTTCTTCCCGCTCCCAGAAGATGCTCCCGCCTCCCCCAAAGTGTCTCCAGTTTCCGATTGAGCACATTGATCACAGCATCGTTATCAGTAGTCTGGGGACCCCGCGTGAGCCTGGAAAGCCACGCTGGTGTTCTGAGAATCCATGATGGGCTGCGGTGTTAAGAGGGCACAAAAACTCCAGAGGGAGCGGGAGAGGGATCCTTTTTTGGAGCGTAGACTTCAGAGGGCTGGAGGGTGGGGGTGGGGGCGGGGGGGTTGCCTGTCTTTGTCTAAATGCTTGGCATTTCTGTCATCCTGCATGCTTACGGGGATAGACCGTGTGTGTGCGCGCGCCTGGGGAATAAACACGTTAGAAACCTCGATATAATTTTCTAAGCAGAAATCTGCAGCCTTTAGTAACTGGCAAAGTGTAGCGTCACCTATCTGGATAAAAGGGAAATAAACTTTATTGGTAACTTTGTGTACCGAACTGTCCCCAGCACATTTCCTTTTCTTTTGACTTTGTGCCACTTGATCGCCCATGGTATTCCCCCGCGCGAGGCTTCCCCAGTTTTTCAGTCACATCCACCGCAGCCCGCCTCGTCAGATCTCAGGTCTGGTTGTTTTTTGTTTTTTCCTTTTTTTGCACTGTAGCCTTTTACTCCTAATTCACTTCGCGGCTGTTAAACGAGGGGACTTCGCCAGGACTACAAGGGTTAAGTCAGACCTGAGACTATTGGGAGGATTCCTAGCACTTCAAAAGAGAAAAAGTGCCGCTGCTCGGGTTTAGGTGGTCCTCAGTTCGTTTGATCTATAAGCATCCGAGGGCCTACCTTTAACGGACATTTTAAAGCGAAACCCAAATAGAAATCCATGCAGAGTCGTTACTTTGCCTTTACGAGACCAGTGTGGGAAGGCAGAATGATTTAAACAAGACAAACACCAATAAAGTCTACGAGAAGATGTAGCGCGCGGTTGTTTGGGCAGGCGCAGCGTGCAGGAATCGGGGGAGAGGCAGCAGAGATTTCCCCGCTCTCCCTAAGAAGGACGGTAGAGGCGCAAAGGATGGAAGTGTGTGCGGAGGGAGCCACGGAGCGGGCGAGTATTTTCCACTCCGCTGTAGCAGCAGGACTTCGGGGGCGGCGGAGGGCTCCTCCTCCCGGGCCAGGGCCGGAAAGCCGGCCTTCCCCCAGCCCCTCCTCCCCACCGGAGCTGCTTTGCCCTATATCTGCAGCATCAGCGGGAAAAGCACCGCGCGCAGGCTCAGTACGCACCGCCGCAGTCCCGAGCCGGGGGGCGGGGGGGGGCGGCGGAGGCGGGTGCTGCAGCGCCTTTACGGCTGACTGAGTGGCGGTCACGCCAAATGTCCCTCATATTTGCCAAGAACTCGGGTTTATCAGGACGTCCGCCCACCTCGGTGCCCTTTTCCCCCGAATCCGAGGTGGTAGAGGGAAGCCTTTCCCACTCCGCGGCCTTGCGCCGGTGCATTCCGATGCGCGGCAATATGGTGCACAACACTGGTTCTTCTTGCCGCCTTTACTAGATTTTGCAAACTTCAGGCAGCCGCGTGGGCAGACGTTGTGCATTCCCTTTTGCCTCTCCAGACCGTAAACTTAAGCCCCTCCGCGTCTTCAGCCCTTTGCCCGCCGCTCCAGCGCGCGCTCGCCTGGGGCACACTTGAGGAAGGTGAAGGAGTGGGCGGCTTTTCCCAGCGGGTGCTGCAAATTTCTTCCCAACCGACTGAGGGGTGCCGCGCGTCCTTCACAGTGGAGTGGTTTCTTCTTTGCGAACGGGAGGTAGTCTCCAGCCCGCCCTCCCCTCTCTCATCCCTACCAACTCTGCGGCTGAGCCAAAGCAGCGTGGGAAATGGGTCCGACGTGTGCGGCATGGAGAACAGCGCGCAGCCGGGCCAGACTACCGGGACCAAGGAGCCTCCTGGCTTTCTCCCTCCCCGCTGGGTCCCTGGCTCCGACCTTTCCGCCAAAACAGCCAAGAGACAGTGGCGGCTTTGCCAGGCGGCTCGCTTCTTGGGAACCCAGAACGGACTGGGCGGGGTGGGGTGGGGGCGAGACGAGAGAGGCCCTCGGGGCTCCCTAGCCGCAGCCGAATCCCCCAGTCCTCTTCCGCCCCCTGCCTGGGGGCTGACACTCTCCCTCCAGCCTCTTGCCGGCGCGGAGGATGGATGGAGGCGGGAAGCGGTTTCCCCTACCCCCGCCCTGTTTCCGCAGTCTTAGAGCCAGTGTCACAAGTGCTCAGCAATTTCATTAAATAGAACCTGGAGACTTAATCCCCCCCGCCCCGTACCAGACCTCACCAAGGGAATATGATACCCGGCTCCGCTCCCACCCACAAACCCCGCCCGGGTTCTCAGACCCTAGGCTGCGTTTGTCTTCTCAACCTGAGAGGAAAGGGTCGAGAAGGAAATGGGATCGCAAGTGTAACCGGCTGCAATAAATTAAAGAGCCTGCTGTTGCTGCTGCTGTTTTGGCGGCCAGAACTGAAGACAGAAAACGAGATCTGTGTCCTAAAGATTGCATTGATCGGAGTAATAGGACGTCATTGCATTAGGAAGCAAAATGTTTGGTGGAATGCTGAAATGTTGGGGATTTTTGTTTTTTAGTTTGTTGGCTTTTGTTGTTGAAGTAGAATACAAAAGAAATATCCTTTTGAAACCAGGATATATTTAAAATGAAATTGATTGAAATGTAAATATCATCTCGTTCTAAAAGATATTTAATAAAAGCTTGTTCGATGATTGCTTTTCTGTGCCAAATATCCTACCTTAAACTTGAATACACGGTAGTTTCTTTAAAAATTTTACCACTAATCCCGCTTGTTGAAAACGGCTTTGCAGTTAGAAATTTCAGTGACTGGACTGAAAAATAGCATTCAGAGTCGTGGTGTAGTTTAAGTCTCAAGAAAAGATGGGGAGAGAAGTAACAACTAAAGTTTATGGATACGAATACAAAAGAAATAGGTGATGGAAACATGATCTCAGGGGGGCTTTAATTTATAATAGACGCTGTATTCACAATAATACAAGAAAAAGGTTAAATACAGTAAACACGATAGTCATTTCTGGAAAGAAATATAAAAGCAGTTTGACAGAAAGGAAAAAAGTGACTCAAGAACTCCACCAAGGGACAAGCAGAGGAAATGACACCCATATATCTCCAAATCATTGACCTTTCATCTTTTTGAAAACGGTCCTCTGTACACATTTACATATGTGTAGACATGTTTTTGAGTCTTTCATATCAATTACTTCTCCAACTACTTTTGATAAATCTGATACTTCAGTCCTCTTTCTGTAACTAATTATTAGAAACGATTGTCTCTTAAACATACGATTTTACAGAATGAAAATAAGTATGCGTAACTATTGTCTTATAGCAAGTTGATTCTGATCGTTGGAGCTATGAGAAACTTTAGGAATATTTTGCAGCCTTAAATCTATGCTTGTAGTATTATAATGTATAATAGACCGAAATGGCTAAATTATTCATTGCAATAACAGCCTTTTTGATGGACATTAAAGCTCAGCAGTTTAAATAAGGAAACCACAGATTTCCTTTTAAGCGGGTAATAACTGCTTGCATCAGTGGTTCTTTTAATTGCTCTCTCACCAAGAAATAGAACCAGTTGTGCTGTTTAAATCATAAAATCATGTTATGCAAAGCCATGCATTGTAATATGTCAAGAAAAGAAGAACACAAGAATTAAACCAAGTCGCTTCACCGTACTTGTTGGATAACTAAAAACATTTCCACAGTACCTTTATAAAAATCCTGTTCAAACAGAAAAAGCAACTCCTGAAAATAAACGTTAAGTATTTATCTAAATATTAGCTCATAGACTGATTTGTAGGTTTAAATAGTGTTTTAACTTTTAACATAGTACTTGATAGAACTGATTTCACTTTAAGCTTAGCATAGGTTGACAATTGGTGTTTTT